ACACACAGTTACATAACATCAAACCCAAATGCCTAAGGCCAGAAGTTTTGTCATTGTTTTCTGTTACAATTGGGAATTTGCCAACTCTGTTAGAATGAATTAACATTACAAAAATACTGATAGCAGCACAGTTTGTCCAGCACTTTTTAATATTTCAGTTCTGACTAGTCAGGAAGCCGTACCACCCATCCCTACCGACAAATGGAACCTATTTATGTAGCCATATTGTCTGTAATTGTCCAGAGCATGCTGAGCATATGAATGGACAGAAACGTTTTGATAATGTGTTGGCCTTGAAACTGGTTTGCTGTTGGAATCCATTGTCAGTGTTTTAAATGCAAGGTGAATAAAACTCCTGTCCTTGGTTAATGAGCTTTTCAGAACCAACTGCCAAACCTTTCAGAGGTTAAAGGTGTTTAAAATTCAAAACATAGGTTTTTCGGTGAGGTATTCTATTTAAGAAGTGTTTCACTGCTTGAAAGATGGGCTTTTAATAAAACTAGGATGTCTATGCAGTAGAAATACTTTTGAAATTGGTGCTACAGAGCCAGAGAAGACAGAGAAAAAGGACACTTTTGTTCAAGAGGGGAAAAACCTCCAACTACCATGATGCGCTGTGCCGCACCACACCAACAAACGCTTTCGCTGGTGGGTGACATAATGCAAACACGTCCATATGAAACAATGGCTACTGGCTGGCAAGAAACAATATTGCATATTACAGTTAAAAAAGAAGCTAGAATATGTTTCTGAAAACATCTGAAGTGAGAAATTGGCAACTCAGTTACAAAATCTTGATTTATATTGGATCAGTGCTGCCTAGTTGTAGTTCGGCCTCTGTTTTCACTGTGCAGGAAACAGTATGGTGCCGATTTCCTGTTGATAAACTCTTGCCGTTGCAGCTAAACACAGCAGTAAAATCTGTTTCTAAAATCACTGAAGGTGAGAAATAGGCAATACAGTAAGAGAATCTTGATAAATATTCAATGAGCACTGCCTAGTTTTACCGTTTAATTAGATTTCGGTCCGAGTTTGAGAGAGAGAAAGTGGGGGATGGTTCAGTCTCTTGATCTGCTCCTATATGTTTGTCTCTAGTGGTGGCATGGGTGGCAGGCAATACAAAAATGCAACCCAGTCTAACTCCGAAGTCATTGAAATCTGGCGCTTGGTCAGTGACTTCAAGCATCAGACACCTATGAAAAAGGGTACCTTGCATGTAATACCTTGACGGATGGAGGTTCATGACCCAACATCAATGTGTGAAGAGGTCGGAGTGAGAATGCATTGGAAAATGCAGTGTGTCGTTCGAGCAATAACCAGAGAGTCAGTGAAACTCTAGGCTTTGGTTAGATGGAGGGAAGTTTATCACAGTTCATTTACACATATTACCTACATTGTTTTGATACAAAGCTGGTTGAAAATGAAGGTGAAATATCCCTTTAAGTAAATCAGTGGCATTTATGTGATGGATGATTAATAAACAGGACCAGTGCAGAACTCTGACTTGGCCTTAAACTTTACCTACATTGAAATCTAACCTGAAATGTCATCTAAATCCTAAATCAAAATCAGGATCTCTCCTCACTTTGCAAGAATTATTCTCACTCTGAGTGTCTCAAACTCTGTATGATTCTCTGAAGGGTAGAAGTACAAGAACACGGAAACACACACATCGAACCAAACACTGTGTACTTCAGACTGCCTCTATCCACCAGCCCCCCGCAGTTTTCATACTTGGCATAGAGACAAGCTCACTACCCGTATTCATTTTATAAAGATGAAAACACAATCAATACAGTGAGCCGGGAATTGGAAGTCATTTTCATTAGAGCTGCTGAGAGTTGTGCAGTCATTACCAGCAGATAGCACAGGGGGCCCCGGCTGCAGGCAGCCATTTGTATTCTAGACGCCTGCCCTTCCTCTCTCCTTGCAGCCCCATCTTACCTCTTTCGTCTGTCTCTGTCTATCTTCCTTCTCTGGATTCCCTATTCCCCTTCTCTCAACCTCCCATCCACCTATAGAAAGTTTTTTTTCTAGGACATGTCCCTCACTCCATCTTAGGAAAAGATGTATATTTATATATTTATTATTTATTTACATTTCATTTCATCTGGGGAGCACTTGTAATAGACACAGCGCTCACTTTCAAGCCGTCCACCGCAGCCATTAAACGCACTTGTGCTTTGTTTGTTTTTGCTATTGAGCTCCAACTGCTATTTCATATTTTCTTTTCCTGGATTATTCGCATCATCTTTTTTTTTCCCCCTTCTCCTATTTGCTTGCTCCCTCCACACCAAATGTTTTCAAATGGAGGGAAACAAGTTAAAACACCACAACAAAATGCAACAAGAGAGACCATCAGCACACGCTCAGGGGAAATAACAGTAGCTGGCAGTGGCCATTGGAAGTTGCAGCGGCAAAATAGAGGTGTTTTGTCTTCTTTTTTTTTTTCTCTTCACCCTCGGTGGCTCTGAGCGCTCTGAGCTCATTGTCATAAAAATGGAATCTGTCACCCCGCTATAAACCTCAGTCAAGGTAGAAAAGAGAACAAATACAGACGCTTGGTAGGCGCCCACCTACACAGCAACACTCACAAGTGTACGAGCGTGGAAAGCCTGCAATTTGAACACAAAGCTGCTTCACAGTTATTGTTGCTTTTAGCTGTACACAAAGGGAGGAATGTCATTTTAATACGTCTTGTTTTTATGTCCTAATTCTCTGTGATTAGTCTTTTTGTCTTGTAAAAACAGCTCCTTGTAAATCAATAAAAAAGGTGGTATATTTGTTTATCTCAATGACAGACGATAACCTTTAGAGAGCTGTTAAATGTGGGAAAAGTTCTCAAGTGTTGTCATGTAGTGTACACCCAGGTGTGTACTATATGAGGGGAATGGGCCCCTTTCTATTGGTGATTGTATGGCATTACAGGAACACAGTAGTGATTGAGAGAAAACTCTTCTTGGTGGTTTAAGGATGCTCCAACATTCCACTATTTGAATCGTATGCCAAAAAAACGTTGCACTACCATAAAAAGAGAAACTCGCTTAGATAAACAATAGGCAAACATGATGTTGTGACAAGAAATAGAAATAGAAATAGAAATGTTTTTTTTTCTTGTGTTTTAAAAAAAGTTATATATTGATATTGAAAGTAAACAAAGAATCCAAAGGAGGTGGTTGAAACACTGCTGGCCGCAGTGCTGGCTGCAAGATGAAAGAGAGGAAGCGTGGGTGGGGCCAGAGAGAGCTTTTTAAAGGCAAGCCAACAGATGCCAGAGATCAGGTACTAACGGCAGGAGGCATTCAGATCACCTGCAAGATACACAGAGTTTGGACATAACACATGTTTAAACATTGTTGTTTTACACAGCCACTGCGTTGCCACAGAATAACTGCAGAAATTGTAAGATTTCAGAGAACGTATCCCAAAGTTTCTTGGGCATATATATTTTTTATTCTCTCCTAAAGTAGGGTGTAATTTTTATTTTTTTTGAAATTCAATACCTTAAAGGATAAGTCCTACTGATTTCAATCAATGATACCATGTCATTGCACACAAAATATTGTGCTGCAATTAGTGAATTGACACATGCTTACCACATGCCAAGGACATCCATGTTTCCCATATCTCTTTTCCTTCAAATTAGCTCTCGTTCTTGAACATAGACTGTATAAATAATGGACATAGCTACTGTGACGTAGCCCATTGATTTGTGGAATGCCTTTTTGAAGCCTTGCTGCAATCCGCCGTAGCAGCCCTCATTTCCACCAGTTTTGAGCAGAACTATTGTAATCAAGGTTGCGTCATCAACAGAGGATGTTGCAAATTGCACAGTGGAGGTAAACAGTAGTAGCAAGACTGACATTGAGTGACACTGATTACCTGTGAGCTTTTATTCTGTTATTACAGATATTTGTTTTTATCCATAAAACAACAACAATAACTATAATTGATAAGAACACGTAGAAGACGTGTACCTGAAAGCCTCCATACTCTTTTTCCATCCCGTTTCCAGTTGACAAATACTGCTGCTTGGTCATTGATTACCAGGTCAGACACTACACAACAAAAGCCATCTTTTTTTGCAGCAGTATGATATGCTGCCAGGCGGTGTCCATGTGTAACAATGCTGGACAGCATCGCTTTGAAACGCCGCAGGAAAACAATTTAACTTAAGGAGCTGGAAAGTCCCTGTAGGGCAGACAGGAGGGGTGGGGGATGTGTCCAACAAACACTGGACTTTCACAAAAGAGCCCAGTGTTTGCTTCCTGTATTAATGCTAAGTAAATACAAGATGTTTCACCGACAGTTCATTTTGAAAAAGATTGTATGCAGCTAACGAACAAAAACTGTACATTTCCTGTGAAAACAAAATTGTGTTTTGAAAAGACACTGCAAGTAACAGGCGTTAATTAACATGGCGTCCCAAACGTCAACAACAGATGCATTCAGGATACCTAGCACATCATACATCACTGAACAAGCAGCAATATGTGACAAGTTGGGAGTGAGAATATGTTGCTTTTTCCAACCTGTAGAATATGACACGCCCACTAATGTCATCACGGTTCACGCTTCAGGTCAAGGTCTTTGGTTCCAGCTGGAAACCAACTTTTCGGGTTCTGACCTAATGGTTTTTGGTCAAAATGCTTAGAGTGGTTCAAAATTAGGTGTGCATTAGGTGCAAAAAGAGGTACATGGGGAAGACAACTCTTAAATGTGGCAATACCATTTTTAGGTCTGTGCCCTGCAGAGGTCAAGTTTTACATCTTTCGCTCATATTGGTGGTAGGAGACTCAGAGTACCAAAAATAATTTGTGTTTTTTACACTACAGTTTTGTACTTCGGGTATAATGAATATGGAAGCCCTTAGGGCAGTTCCTTAGACTTTCAATTTGGTTACTAAAAGGATCACATCATCTATCACTTCTTCTTCTATTCTCTGTTTGAATGTGTATCATATCCATGGTATCCTAATGGTGCTCTGGTTTTTGTTTCAGACCACAGCGGGTGAACTGGGTGAAGGTGGATGACGATGTGCCATCTCACGCCGTCATCACTGGCGGCGATCTTTACATCGAAAACCTAAACAAGTCCTACAACGGAACCTACCGCTGCGTGGCCTCCAACGCAGTGGGGGAGTCTTTCGATGACTACATCCTCTACGTCTATGGTACGCAGGTCTAACACTGACCCTCCATCACTTTACTCTCTCTCGTTTTACCTGTATCTCTGTACCTGCCTTTTTTGAGAAATTGCCCCGGGAACATAAACACCCGGATCATCCTTATGATGATATTTACATGATTGGTGAGTTGTTGGCATTGGTGCTTATTGCTAGCATCTGTAGCAGGATTGAGCCAAAGATCATAATCTAATGTGTGCAGACTGACTTGTAAATAAGGGCTGTGTTTGAATACAGTTGTGGTATACTTTTAATCCCTCCCTGTTTCAAACTGCATAGTGGATATGGCAAAAAACCAAAAGCTTACCTCTTTGCTCTGTCCACTTTGTCACATGAGTGCTCTTTCTGCCCTGCACTTGGATCCAGAAAAATGGGGTCCTGAGGCAGCATTAAAATGGACACAATAGGTGGTGGAAAAAAATGCATGCAAACTGTTTTGCCCCCTGATAAGCGTGCAAACTCATTATTATTGTTACTCAAACTGGATTGCATTTCATCTTCTCACCAGTGCCTGTGGCAACACACCCACACCAAAGCAGCTCCTTGAGATGTTTTTAATGCAGAACCTATTTTTTGCCACCAAAGAAGAGGTTGTGTCCTCAGTATTGTTTCTCTCTCTCTCTGTATTGTTTGGTTATTTTAATGACCTGGAGAGGAGTTTACATTCTGCATTTACGTGCACATTTTACATTGTGGATTTTGAAGACTGGTTCTAACTGCTTTTAGGTAATTATCAACATAAAATGTAAGACAGGGATTGAGTTATATCCTGGCAGTGCAGAGAAGGTCTTAAAACGGGTAGAAAAATAAAATGTACAGAAAACATAATTGAGTAAAAGGTCCAGTGTGTAGGATTTAGGGGCATCTATTGGCAGAAATAGAATGTAGTATTCATAATTATGTTTTCATTAGTTTTTAATAACCTGAAACTAAACCTAGTTGTGATTTTGTTACCTTAGAATGAGCTGTTATATCTACATAGAGAGCCGATCCTCTTTCATAGATTGCGACATGTTGTCAATACAGACAGGACAAAGGACAAACAAAACACTGGCTCTGCATAGGGCAATTTGCTTTTCTGGGCAATTTGCTTTTCTTGCCATTTTGCATCAGCCACTGTAGTTCTCCTGAATGCTTGGCACAATCTGCAACTCACCACTAGATGGCACTAAATCCCACACACTAGACCTTAAATGAAGTAATAACATTAATTTAAAAATAATATTTAGAGTACTCTGAAATATTACATACTTTTTGTACTGGCCAGTCAAAAAAAGTCTGTGGAGAGTTGAATTGGACAATTTTGATCTTATGACCTCAGCTTGTCTTAAATCCCTCCGAAGAGGCTTTGTCAGGTTTTAAACTTTTGCTGTTTACCCAAAAAAGAAAGGTATTAGGCGACTGGAGACTGTGAGGAAAAAATCACTGCACAGCAAATGTACATGATATATGGACTAGTTCTAAAAGTAAACCTGACAACATCAGCTCCAGTGAGTCATTGGTTTTAATTTTCAATTCATGGAATAACAGGCCACATGATAATTTTTAGAGAGTGTCTTTTTGCACCCAGTTGAGAAAAGTCACAGTACATCTGTTTGGTGATTTTCACCCATCCCTGTGACAAGTTTTTATGCATCCCACTACATGCTGTGGTTGGCTAGTACTCGTCATGTTGATGCGTTAAGGTTGGAACTGTTCAAGGTGAGGACAAAAAGGTCAGGGTTAGGGCTTGTACTAGCCAGTCCCAGACCTCTGAAATTAAAATGGAGATGAAACACTGAACAACATGACTGCATTTAATTTTTACCTAGGCAGGATGTGACACTGCAATCAAACTTGATATCCACATAGATTTGCTAGAAAACTAAATTGCCATCTTTCAACAAGCTAGTTGGAGATGTCACTGGGTGACTATGAACACTGAGTACTTCAGACTGGTTAAGTGTTGATACAATGGAGTTTGAGAGTTTTGATGAGATTCAAAGAACTACTGTCAAAGTTAAAAACCAACTGCCTATGCTTTATGAGCCAGCAAGAACAAAAAAATTAGTAAGACCTGTTTCCATGGAGCTGGATGACAGCAGTGAAAGTGAAAGTGGAAAGCCTGAAATTGACTAACTAAACCACACAAAGCACTTCTCCACAACAAATATGTGCTTTACCACTTTCTTCATCAAGTTGTCAGACCACAATAACAACGGGAGATGCTTATAACATGGCATTAACGGTATTATGTCACAGCTAACATAACTAATGTAGCCTAACCCAGCGGTCACGTCCATAAGCCACCTTACGTCATGATCAACATCATTCCCACCTCTCGAAGCCCAGAGAGTCGAATGTAACCATTTTCTGCATCATGAAGCATCAGTAAAAAACAAACTATATGAATTACCATCAGAGGAACTGTCAGGGTTTAGCATCACGAAATCTAGACACCAAACTCTAACTGTGTTTTGCTGTTGAAATAAACATTTAAAGTGTGAGTTGTCTGACTGAGATGGCTCTTTTAATACTAGCGTTTGTCGACCCCTGCCTTAGATCATAACCCAAAAGTTTTACTCTGTTTACTCCTCACCCCTGTTATAATGTCTCCTCTCCCAGTATTGTACATCCATTTCTGCCAAAACAGAGAGTAAACAACATATATCCCACCTGTCAGGCACTACGTGACTATGCGTATTTCCATGCACTATTCTACTCAAAACACCTCAAACACTGGCCATAAATAAATATTGTCAAAGAAAAAAACAGCCATCAAAGGACAAAACATGCTTTATACGAGCAAGTTTACCAAGCCTACCACAACAACTGCACAACAACTGAACAAGCAGACAACAGGGATGAACTGCCCCAGTGATGTCACTAGCTAGCATAAAAAGTAAAGGTAAAATTCAACCAAACCACAGTCATATTGTTCAGTGTTTCATCTCCTCTTGAAAGTGGTAGATTTCCAAGAAAGATCTTGCATATGTACTGCCGGAAAGTCAGGTGATGTAGACTGGGTTTCGATTCCTGTGTGAGTCAGTGTTGGCTCATTATTTTTAGACTTAGTTGATGTATTACTTTCTGTTTTTCTGATGTATAAATCACACTGGGTACATTAACTTTAGCACAATGTCTGAATAGACCAGTTGGTGTTAACATCATATTTCTACGTTGCTAGGAAACCCAGGAATATACACCCTGGTGTAAATAGCATTGTTGGTTAATGGACACCTGGGTGCAAATAGCATCTGTCATAATTTTATTACATGCTGATGTAAGTCAATGTCATTTATATAGCCCAACAATACATGTCACACATTTGCCTCAAAGCGCTCCACAACCTGTAGAGCGCGTAACATCCTCCATCCTTTGACCCTTAATTCAGATAAGGAAAAACTGCTAAAAAATGCATTACTAACAACTGTCCATCAGCATGGTGTGAACCAGTTTTTTTCGTTGTTGTTTTTACATTCAGCACTACAGCCAAAACGTAGCTTGGGATCAATACATGAGTGCGGTGTGTATGTTCTACCTCCCACTAACTTGGGGTAATCCTTTAACCTGCCTCCACCTACTTCTGCCAGATTTCTTTATTTCTTTGCCTTCCTGTTGATCTTCCTGTTAATGCAGCATCCGCCTCTCTTTCTCTCTGTTTTTCCTCTCATCCTCATAAGCATTATCTTAACATGCTTTTATGCTGTTGATACCAGTAACATTTTCTCCCTGAGCAGGGCATTACACTCTAATGTGCTCATTTTCCCTGGCCAAAATTACTTCACTATCACTTTTTGGTAGACCCTGAGCCCGCAGAGAAATTATTTGGCTGCTATTGTCAGAGGGAATTAGCAGAGTGAAAAGGCTTCTTTTTTTATGTAGGGGGGTAAAAAGAGACTCTCAATGCCTGACGGACACCAGCTGAATGGATGTTATTTACAGCAGAGCTGGTTGCTGTGCTAATGATGAGTGCAATAAAACAACAGAGGTACCGCTGAAAATCAGGAAACAGCTTACTGCCACCTGCTATATTACAGCTGTTAGTCTGTACTAACTGTGCAAAGAGAAAGTCTCTTTTTCTCCCTCTGTATATTCCCCTGGTTCTCTCTGTCAGAATCAGTTTGACATGTACGTAAATCTTTGGACTGAAGAAAATTTCCAGCGCTGACTTCTTTAGGAATTAGTCTGCCATTCAGAGAAAGGATTTGGATTGCGGGTTAAGTCCAGAACCAGGACAAAGTGTTTCAATTTCATGATAGTTTATGATAAAAATTGGAATATTGAAATAAGAAATGACATTTTGGAGTCATCGTTAAGGGAATGATAAAACAAAGGTTTGTGTGCATGCAAATGTGTTGTAAGCAGATCAACGACAGCACACATTAAAGACCATCAATAAGAGAAACCAGCCACATTGTCGCTGACGTGTGTGCAATCTATTATCCTTAACTTTGCATGAAGTATGAATTTTCTGGTAATTGTAGCAGGCTTTTTGTACGTCTCTCTCCCCGGGCCTAAACAACAAAATCCCATGGTGAGGGCTGCAAGTTGCCCCTCTCTCAACCACCCACACATCCCCCCATGGTGAGCGAAAGACAAAGATAAACACGGTAATGCAACATGTGGGCAACTAAAAGCCTTGCACACACACACACACACACACACAAAAATACACACAGTCACCATTAAAACCACATAAGGCCTCCACCCTTTTAGAGCTAGTCTTTTGATGACTTTGATGTGTCCGTGGCTCCCACACTACTAATGTCGACTGTAATTCAACAGCAAATCATGCCGAACCTTCGCCTTGCTAATGGGAAGACAGGATGTTGTGGCTGAGCTGTCAGAGGCTGATTCTCACATTATGTTCCAGACCCCCCTCTACCACTACACACACACAAACACAGTACCTCCTGCTTCTACACCACCATGCACACGCATCGGTAGTACCTAAACAGAAGCTGGGAGGAGGGCGTGTATGTAGACACACACTCCTTTGTAAGAAA